TTGTCAACAAATCAGAGCCAAGTATTAAATTCTGGCATTTGACAAGACAGTCTAATAATCTCTAAAATATCTCAGAAAAGCCTTAAATTCTAATTTGAAAACTTGGCTGATTGGGCTCTTCTCGTAATGTGCCAAGCTGCAAGCCAACACAGCTGTTTTTAGCTTCTTAGAAAACTCATAACTTGCTACAGACAAGCATAAAAAGCTGAAATGTCTTCAATTCCATTACCCTTAGTGTTTTCAAATAATGTAAATCTGAAGTAGGTGCAGTCCCTGCTGAAGCACTTGTGAGAGAGTCATAAGAGACACCCAGTTTATGAAAACAGCCGACATTATAAATATGGTTATGAAAAACAAAAGACCTGCCAAAGTTCTGGCAGGTGCCAGATCTTATTGAAAGCAGTGACTGCAGTGCAGCTGCTGTTAAATTAGAATATATTTCAGAAAAAACTAAAACTATATAGCTTTTTGTAATTTTTAAATTTTTTAACGAAGACTAGTGAGCAGCACAAAAGAAGACTTCTAGTAGTTGCCAGGGTTGTCATTAATTTTTTAGTCACCTGTAGCCTTATTCTCCACACCCATAGCAAATTTGTTACTTTGTGGGTGAATTCTCTAAACAACAGGGAATTTCACCCATAGCGTCAAGGGAAAATTAAGCATAGTCAGCCGTAACAGGTGTTACTGCTCATGGCCCTTAATGAGAGCCCTGGTTGCAAGCTTTTTGTTTATTTTCTCAGACAGAGATGAAACACGAGGGAAATAAACAAAAAAGCTTACAACTACAAGAAGTGTTCCTTTGCGCTGCTCACTAGTCTTGGTTAAAAAATAAAAAAAAAATAAAAAAAATAAAAAATTAAAAAAATTAAAAAATTACAAAAAATTACAAAAAATTAAAAAGTTAAAAAATTTAATAGATCTAGAAAAGTAGAATTTGCATGTATCTTACTTAGTGAAGCCAATCTGATGGACGGCCTCCATTGCTGCTCTACTCCTAACTCCTGCTAAGCAGTGAAACACAATATTTGCATCATTCTTGCTTGGCTTTTTAACATTGTATTGTTCTTCAAATTCTTCAGGATCCATTGTAAAGGCCTCAGGAACTTTTCTTACTGAAATAAATAAAGTTTTACCAAAAGTCATGAATATATGAGGCAAAATATTTATTTATAAGTGGATGATAAGTGGCAGATCTAGGGGAAGGACCCAGGGGACCCAGGCCCCCCCTTATTTTGGGTAAGAAAAGAAGAAATAAGAGAAGGAAGGTAAGAGGGGGAGGGAAGAGAGGGTGCTTATTCGAGAGGGGGGGGTGGGCACTTATTTTAAATCTTGGCCAATAGGAGGGGCGCTTATTCGAAGGGGGCACTTATTTGAGGGGGGGGGGGCACTAATTCAGGGATTTACGGTACATGAAAAAGAGTAAAGGCAATGAAACACAAACATTCTTTTTTTCCCTTTTTGAAAAAAAAAACAAAAAACAAAATCGTGCAGTTACAGAAAATATCCATACTTCACCCACAGAAGAGATTGGAGGTGGGGTGGGGGGTTCTGTTAGACCAAAAAATTTAAAGAAATGTATGAAGCTTAATCAGAATTTCCAGAGGGGGAGGTATGATATTTTCTGGAGCTACACATTGTCGATTGCATGATGGGAAAAGAAACACTTTATGCATTAGTTGTTCTTGTAGTGAGCCATTCTTGTCCCCAGAGGCTGCGCTCCTTTTGGTCAACACCAAGAATCGTGACCTCTAGGCTGGTCCAACACCGGAAGTCCGCGAATCATGATCTTCCTGTCAAGTTGACAAATCTGATTGGCTGTCATTCTCATCCCCAGAGGCTGCACTTCTTTTGGTCAGCACCAAGAATCACGACCTCTGGCCTAGTCCAACACTAGAAGTCCGTGATTCATGGACTTCCCATCACTCTGAGCAAGCTCAGAGTCAAGTCTGACAAATCTGATTGGCTGAGAATACAAAATGATTACTCCGTGCATGCTCAGAAAATTGGACTTTCCCAGAGGTCGCGATTCTTGGTGCTGACCAAAAGGAGTGCTCCTTCTGGGGAGGAGAATGATTGGCTGTGAATACAAAACAAATACTCTGCTTGCGCTCAGAAAATCGGGTCAGGCTATAGGTCATGATTCTTGGTGCTGACCAAATGGATAGCGGCTCGGGGGATGAGAATGGTAGTGTGCTCAATCAAGGCCTGACTCCTCATGTTTTTTTTGTTTTTTTTGGCAAGCAGTCTTTTAAACCAGTTTGTTTCAGATTATGATAATGAATATGAGACACTGGAGTACTAAAAATCACACTGGTGATGAACATTTAAAACTAACGATTTTTTTTTTTTCAAAAGAGCAACAGTTAAGTTTACTTATAATATTATTAATTAACGCTTGAAGTAATAACACACCAATCAGACGTGCTACACACAGATCTGTGAGCTACAATAAAAATTCAGACTATATCATTAACTTACATGTAAGTCTACATACATGGTATATTCGTAGCACAAGCGATTTTTCCTGTCTCCACCAACTCGTGAGGTTCTCGAACATCAAACAGCTGAACATTGTTAGCTGTTAACATCGCCTTCAACTCTGTGATACTTATATCAGTCCAGTGTTCCAGAGGTGTCGTCGACGTGTTCCTTTTTGCACATTGTACGCTTACAGCAGGTCTTGTAATTCCGATAACGTCCAGGAAAACTCGGCTTGAGGAAGTAGTACAGGCATTTTTAGGCAAACAACTTCTCGTTGTTGCTGCAATCAATCTCGCCAACACCAACATTGCGATGAAGGAGAGATACCAAACTGATGCTCTTTTCTTATGATGAAAATCCTTTAACATTACTCTGTAGGAAAATGGAAGGAATTGTTGAATTACTGCAAGACACCGACGCCAAACTACTAGACGTGGACTTCAGCATGTTTGCTTTCATCTCCGATTTATTCCTTGAAAGATTGGCAGAGTCACCCTGGTAACTAAGGTGTATTTTGAGCCTGCGATACACTCCACTAAACAGCGTACAAGACCTTGAAACTGGGGACGAGGCAACCTCATTCCCAGTGTCTCTCATTTTCCGTCGAGGTTGGGGACGAGGCTCCGTCGACGGCCATTTTGAATTTTGTTGGAGTGTTTTGTGTAGCAAGAGAAATTCACTGTCTTTCCAAATGTGGTACGAAGCTTTGCCTGGGTTGATAATCATTGGAAGTTGCATAGCCTTCACTGGCTGGGGATTGAAGGTTGTTGACCGATTGTTTCAGGAAGGCAAGGTAATTGAAGAAAAACAACAGTCGGTTCTGATTTGGCCTTGAAGCGCTGTTGTCTTGATTTCAAACAATTAGAGCTCAGTTCACATTATAAATTTCAGGACCTGTTTCAAACTCTTTTGTAGCCTAGCAGATACAATGTGGATAAGTTTGACCAAAGAATGATTGACAGGGATGAAAAGATTACTGGATCTCAATTCAGACAAAAGGTTAGCTTGGTCATGTAATTAGAGCAGAAGTAAAGATATGCTTCTGAAAAGGGTCAGGAAAACAAACAGTTAAGCTTAATTGTAATTAGTATCACTCAACTAGTGGACTAATGCAAATCCTGCATTTTAATTGGCTATTCTACTAGAGGACTATTAGTAATTGAGCGTGACGCTTTCTTTTGTTTTATTCCCAAATAAATATTTCTTCAACTTGCATTTGCTAACGTTACTATTGCCTTTTCTGTCCGACTAGTTGGGTGATACTAATGCAATTAGACCCTTCGCCCTCAAGGGCCATGGGTCAATAGCCCATTTGGCTTCACTTCATGGGCTATTAACCCGTAGCCCACCAGGGCTACGGGTCTAATCTTCAATTAGCAACATTAAGGTTCAACAGTTGTAAGAATCGGGCTTGACCTGTCGTCAGTGTGGTGCTTAGGGTTGCTAATTAATAAACACCACAATTCTACCCTGGGTGCACATGCCAGAGGAATATGTTTCCAAGGTGCAACGGAACGTGGCTTCAGTCTTTGGTTGCCAGCGTGACATTCTGTTGGACCTTGGAGAAAAAAGCCCTCTCTACCCTGGGGTACCCCAATTCTTAAGAAAAATTAACATTTGAAGTAGGATAATCTTTGCTGACATAATTGTTTACATTTTTCCTCATGAACAAATGTCTTTTTACAGAGAAAGCATCATGCTAGACACAAATTGACTACAAACATTTAAACAGCTTGTGAAACTTAGTAGTTGGTGAAATGTTTGGCTCTTTGGGTGTAACATTTCAGAGACACCCAACGACTGTTTTCTCTCAAATGCTTTTAAACGCTGTTTGNTATATATATGCTTGCACTGTATTTATTTTGTAGTACTGTATGGTACTGCAAGATCTACATTTCAAGTTGTCGATAGAGAATATCGATGTGACCGAAAAGTCGTGCCTTTATCCTGATATTCCTTAGTTTCAAAAAGACTGACTCAGGAGAGGAAGCAAACCATCAATGAAACAAGAGATATTTCATGATCACGACGTCATAACTGCTCTTCAAAACCAAATGATTTATTTGTTTTTATCGAATGTTTTGTTTATATCATATCCGTCCTTTGGAAAAATAGCCGATTTGCATTTCACATACCTAAATACCTCCTTCATAGTCAATGTTGTCAGAGGCACCCAACGACTGTTTTCTCTCAAATGCTTTTAAACGCTGTTTGAGGCCATCTGGAGTACTTTTAAAGCTCTGTAGGTTAATTTTAGGTTGCGCTAAGAATTTTTTACCTGTTCGGTTATTCTAGGGGAACTTGAGTATTCTCGAATTTATTAGGGCTTTTTTTGTTCATTCCCCGAAAACCTTAGGTCTTATCGCCTTTCCGAAAATGATAGCTGACCTTTTTTCGGTACCCAAAACGACATTTTTTACAATCCGAAAACAACAGATATTAAATTTCCCATATTACGAAAGTTCGAGGGGACAATTCTCTTCAAAAAATCAGAGGGGATTAAAGCCCTTCCGAACAGATAATTTACCGAAACGATCTGTTGGGTGCCCCTGATGTTGTCTGCATACCCAATCTTTTTGGCTTATCAGTTTCACCCTCTTGTGCCTGATGTAGCTGAAGGCGACATGTACAACGGACCTGAATGCTATCTAGTAATGCTCTCCTTTCCAATTGTTTTTTTGTTGTTGTTGTTGTTGTTGTTTTTTTAATCTTTTGAATTGTTAGCGAGTTGATTATTTAATTTTACTGTCAACTTTGAAACCGGAATATTGAAATTCATTGTTTTCTCCTTTGGTTTCTTTGATTTCAATTTATCGATATTGTCGGCTCTTAACTTGGATAAACTCCACATAGCGCTTTCAGAAGGGCCTCAATGGAGTTAACGTCAACCGTCAAATGGCCAAAAACATCTACCATCGACCCTCAAAGCTGGGACCTCCCGCCGTTGAGACCCTATTTCATATCTGTTATGAAACTGCGATAAATCTTAGGGTTTCAAGCGTTTTCCGCTGTGGCTAAATGACCGGCAGCCGGTCAAGGTTTTAAAATCTCTAAATGATCAGCAGTCTGATATTTTTCTTAAATTTTAAGGAATCGAAGGAACCCATCCAATTCAAACTACCATATGTCGATCAAGAACTGCCAAGCGATCCAGAAGAGCTACATAGATCGCAAGTCTAACGCTCGGTTTACGCTCGGCTCAGAGAGTGATGTCATGGTTTGTGACACTTACGACTTTTTTAGGTCGACTGGCGGTCGCGGTTTTCAAATCACTAATGCTGTGTTTAGACTTGAANGAGAAATTGGCTTTCAAAAACTGCAAAATTTCTGGGTGGCAAAAGTGCTGATGAGTTCATACATTCTTTGTAAAATCTTGAGTTCTTAAACCTGCGTTTCGCAAAAAGTATTTGATACATCAAGCTTTCATCCTCACTTTAAACCCTGATTGTTTTACATCAAATCTTTGCAAAACTTCAATGTATGTCACAAACATATAGATTTTGTTTACTTTAGGAACACTGATCTGGATTCCTGGGTGATAAGAGACAATATTGATCGTAACTGATCTTCTTGTTTTTTTTATTCTACAGTCTTTGTAGAGGAGCAAGGCCAAGTGAAGTGCTGTAGTTCTGTTTGTGGACTTTTGAAATTTCATGCTGGGAATATGTTCTTGTGTTAATGAAGCTGCCAGGTCTTTCGTAAACTTCATGTAATTCTGAGTACCCTTAAAATCACTTGTAAATAAACTGAAATTATCACCTTGATCTGTTTGTTTTGTGGTTGCCTTCGTTCGCAGCCTGCATCACTGTTTATTGCTCTCCTACATGCGAGGAGAGGGAAGGAGCTGCACGCACTTTGGGAAAGGAATAATTGACTGCTTTGCAAGATACTTTGTTGTGTTAAACTTGGCGCAAAACAAGCATATGAAGTCAAAAGCTTGTAGATGGCTGCCTCAGTGAACAGCAAGATGTCTGTGCCACCAGAGATATTTTTTAGAGTGACCTTAAGAGGAAAAGAGAGGGGTTTGGGTGTAACTTTTGACAGATGTGCAAGCATACACACGAACACTGATTTGGAAATTGTTAATAGAATTCTGTGACTGTCTCACTCTGAAAATTAATTTGAGGCTACTTTTAAGGTTTTCTTACAAATTTTGGCCCTTCCTGTCTTTATGCTAAACATTCATTAAACATTTTACGCAGCTGGACAAAAATGCTGCAATTTGGCTTTCTGTTACCATTTGCATCTTGTAAAAAGAGACAATGAGAAAAATCCCATGTGAAGGCTTGGTTACCCTAGCAAGTGGCCAATGTGTTCGCTGTTCACAAAGATTGACATGAGTATATCTCGTTCACAATTGACTACTGATGAACAAAAGATTCAAGCAGTTTCACCCTAAAATAAATCATGAGATCTTTTACGCGATGAATTTGGAGTACAGGAGGGGTTAATCAGAAAGGTAACAAGAGAGAGACCACTGAGACCTGAGGACAGGAATTTTTTTAGAATTTGCATGATGGAGGAAAATGACCTGTTTTTGGAGACCAGACAATATCATGAGAATGTCATGCAATGCTCCTTTTCAGTACGAGGTAGAAGGGTTGCGTGACAATTAGAGTACTGGCTTTAAAAGTACACTTGTGAACAGATGAAGGGGCGGCTGATGTTTCAGAAACAACAAAGTCCAATATGAGGGGAAAGGCTTTATAAGCTACACAACACAATACTCTGCAAGTAGTTTGAAATGGTGTGGAAAAATACTCTTTAATACAGGTACAAACCTAATTAATAAATAAATTATTTCACTCTTTGAGAGAAAAAACGTACATGTATGACGATGACAGAGATTTACAATTTTCACGAACGAAGGAGTGCTATAAAACGATGACCTCTCTCTCTAATCTTCATAAATGACAACACTAATTCATTCTAGCAGCTTTGTGATGGCAACAAGACTAGTAGAAAGAATCTTACGTTTACTACAATTTTAGGAACTTTGAATGACAATAGACTACAACAAATTATTCTACAATACAAGAACGTAAAAATATTGCGTTCAGTTTTTTGTACTCCTGGTAATGTTCATACTGTAGTCACACAATGCTTTAGTTACACGCAAGAAGTTCGAACCCGTCGAATAACCGCAGATCAATAGTCAAGACTCATCAGAATCGCCGTTCCGCGCTTGATCCAATGGTCTGACGTCATAGCTCCTGCCTTCAGGTCCACGGCCACCACAAAGGACGCTCGGCCGGACGTGCCTGCTCGGTTAGGGTAGTAATAACACGGGCAAGCGTATACACCTGCAACACGTGAGAAAATGGTTAGGGACTTCTCATGAGCAGATAACTAACAGTGTACAATGAAACCAATCTCCAGATTGAGCTACATTTAGATCACAACCCGACTGCCCTAAACACGACAGCTAGGCCAACGAGAACATAGCCCGCGAACACAGACAGATTTCCAGCGTTTATCTTACGTCGCTAAAGATCAGGTGTAACAACAACCCCTCGATACTTTTACACGTCCGCTATATCTAAAATCTGAGCAGGTCTTGGTCGGCGTTTGCGTGAAAAGAACAACGTGAAAAAGCAGCGTTAATTCAACAAATTCTACATTTTTTGGAGGAGAACCGCGAAGGATAACTTATCACGATTCTATTCTATCAACGTATCCTGCTGAAGGGTAGTTCTGTCAACGATAGACACACCAGACAGACTTGAATAATTGCACTGGAGATTTCTGAGTTAGCTAAAATATAAATTCGTGTTATAATTGAAGTACAAAGAGGTATAATGGCTCTACAAATACGCTTTACATCTTGGTGCATCTCTAAACCGTCTGCTACAAATTGACGACGCCGGTAAAATGACCACGTCGTTGAATTTTCTGTAAATCTATGTTTCTATTTGACGTCTCTTCGTATTTAGCTACAAGGTAGTTATGACACCTTGTTGACTCTCTTAATACTTATAGGAAAGACCTACCCTTGCCACTTTTCTTCTTGTTTTCAACAGGCTTGAAATGAATTGTGGGCATGGCGCTAACGAGCTGCATGGGCTCTGCTTCTATGAGGCACGCATTCTTCTTGTCCCAGCCAGCTCCTTCCAAAAAGAGCCCACGGATCCACACGCCATCCTGAAAATGAAAAGAAGAAAAAAGTCTTCGTTAAACTTTGTTCGCGTTATATTTAACGTTGTGTTTGCTAAACTATGGATTAGTGCTAGTGGGAAATTAAGGCTGCCCGTCAGAGGCAATCATCAAAACTACCACAGCACCCAAAACAAATAACTTTGTCAAACTGACTGCGCAATGTCTTGAGGTTGATGGCATCGTCCGCAAACTGGACGAGAATGGAATGAAATTCTCGAACGCCTATCCTCACTCTGATTCTCAATCAAGGACATGGTGGCTTGCATTTCCAACAAACTTAACTGCACTAATACAAGATTTTGTAAAATATGAGAAAATGACGAAGGCAGCACTGAACAAAGAAAAGTCTCGCACAAACTCTAAAAAACAATTTCACTGGACAGTTACGAAATCATTAATTACTTTTACTTTCAACAAACAAGCTCTGCAAAAACGCTGAATCGACTTTTTATTTCTGATGTTAGGTTGCTTGTGGGGCTAATTTTTTTCACTTAAGTTAAGTTTTCACAATCTGTTCGATAACAAGAGAGCTTGAGCATTGGCAAATTCTTCGTTAAAATCAACTTTCTGCAATCGTACAAGTAAAAATGCCTGTAGTTATAGGCCATCTTCGAGGTGCCTTTTGCCTCTGTTAAAACGAGTGTGTTTCCCCTCAGGTTCATTTTCACTGATGTTATACACAACATCTTCTTTCATCGCCTTTAAATTAGCTGCTAGATTACATAAATACAGCTTTGAAAAACAAGGGTGCTGGCAACCAAAAATGACCACTAGGTTACAAATTCCAGATTGTCAGTTAACACAATGACTATACAATTCAAACTCATCTTCATATGAAAGGTTCTGCATGAGGACTCATTTCGAAACAGAGGTACAAGGTACCTCGGACATGGCCAGGGTACGCTCCCCTATCCAGTCCCTCCTACCTTTGGTTGTTGTGTAATGTTACTGTCGTCCACAGTTGACACAACAAACTCCCACGACAGCGAATCCACCGACACGTTGTTCTGTCGTGCGCATGTCTGCAGCACAGCGGTTAGGAAGCCTGTGGGGAAGGTGAAGCCAGACATCCAGAATATCACAGGCTGGTGAGCTGTGGTCGCCCACTTGGCAAACTGTTCCACCCGCAGCACCAGGTCACGTGTCCAGTTACCCAGCGGTTTGTTGGACGGGTAGGCCTGGAAAAAATCGGGGAGTTGATAGGAGTCGTGTAAGTCGTGTTAGGTCGTATTTTGGAACAAAATTTCTTAAGATCGAAAGAAATCTCAAAATGATACTTAACCAAGGTAAAGAAACAGTAGCGGTGATATTAAACCAAAAAGGAACAAAGATGGCTGACTCGGATCAAGGTAAGGTTGACACGTATAGTAAATGACCAGCTTTAAAAACGTTAGGTCAAATTTTCAAGATGGGAAATCCGTGGCATGGTACCCTTTTGGTCACCATAAACAAAAGCCAAGCAAAACAAAAATAAATTTGCATTTTCAGTTAGCATCTCGCGATTACCCCTTGTCCAGATTCAACCAGTTTGCCGGACTTAACATCGAAAGAAGTACATGTAACATAATTTTTTGATAGCTCCATCTAATTTGAAGGGTTATTTTCATTAAGTGCCTTTCCCTCTACGACGAAGGCGCTTATTTCCAGAAGTCTATGGTGCTTCGTTTAAGATCGATAGTTCATCATACCCGAGTTATGGTTACAATGAACCTTCGATCAACGAACAAACGGTTTAGCGCTCATCAGGTTTGTCATATAGCGACTGTAGTAATCATGTAGGTTGTATAAGGTCACTCGCCTTTCCCCAGAGAGGAGGAACTTTGGCATCGAAGATACAATTGAATGTTTCTTCCAGATCGGAGGACATGACAACAAGACCTTTGATTCCCTTTTCCAGGTCGATTAGGGATGATTTGATGATCCGCAACAGGGCGTTGAAACGCTCAATCTACAAAGGTAAAACAAAGACGAGATTAATGGCTGGAGATAGCCTGTGAACAAGCTCCCTTCGAGGGCGAAAAAAATTCGGTCAGCGAAGCAAGTCGACAGTGCGAATGGCGAGTGAAGCGAGGCTATACTATTATGCCCAGGACTGCACGCTAATGAGATGCATACTCTAAGTAAGCATCACAAAGCGTCGTTTCCACATTTCTTCACAATTATGTGTGTTTTGGTGACCTTTTATGAATGAGGACACTTTGTGATGCTTATCATAGGGAGCGTGCAGTCTTGGACATATCCAGGCTAGAGATCGTAGAAGGTCCACTGGTCAAACGAGCATGTTTACATTGCGAACGGAGTGAATTTTGCTGCTTGTTTGATACGCAGATGATGTCAGTCCTAGGGTAGTTTCAGCTTGGTTGATTACGTGTAGGTGATAGTCGATCAGAGTTGTAGAAATCTTTCGCGCAAATCTCTCAAATCGTTCACGTGGGATAAATAATATCGCTTACTTCTTGCAGTAATACAACGTTGAGAGGAGACGGATCGTCCGACATGATTTTCGCTGTCTGTTCGTAATCGATCTCCTCAGGAACTCTCTTGAGTACATCAGCAGCAAGCTCCAGAACCTGCCAAACAAACAGAGCGAAATCAGAACCTTGTGACAACTCTCATGTTGTGCATCTTGTTGTTAAGCCTGTAGCTTGGTGTTACGTCTTTTTGTTGTTTTTTTAATGAATAAAAACCACGCAGCTAGCCATATAATAATAACCTGTAATGTAAGTACTCTTACTCTTAGAGAATCAGAGCCTTAAATGGGTGTAGCAAGATCTTTTCCTGATGTCTTTACGTCGATGTTCACATTACCGACATAAGTGATTATATCGTCAGGCATTATTACATTTGCCCGTAAAGCGTGCAAAATGAATTGAAACCTGTGCTGTGATTGGCTACACGAGCGGGCAAGATGGCGCTAACTTGCTCCCTCGGGACTACCCACTGTGTCCCACAAGAAAATAGCGTTCTTTTTCCATACAATAAATCTTTTATTGTCTAAGCTTGTTTGGTCAAGATGGCGGGATATTTTCCTCAGGCTTGGTCAATCACACGTATATGCACCATTCATATCATTAAGAATCAGGTTAAGGCCTGTTTTATCACCTTTTCCTCTCTGCTTTCTCCTTGTCCAACGGAGGGGATCTGGGGTTGAAGCGAAAGTAACGTGCCAAACAGGTTTCTATGAAAAGCAAATAAAAGCAGAAGTAAGTAAACAAGACTCGGTATCCCTGAAGAGACTGATAACACAGTAAAAAATTACAGGGTTAAAAAATGTCGATTTAATTAAAAAAAAGTAGAACACGCAAAAAGAAATGATGCCTTAGCAAGATGGATTACAAGGTTACTTACGAAAATTATAATTTGGTACGTAGCACATATTTTGCACTTCACGGCTAAATCACTTCAAGTAAATTCACGGACAAGTGCCTTTCTGATGCAGTGTAAGCAGTGGCTTCTACTTTTCACTTGCAAGCCCTGAAAACTTCCGAAGATTACCATCGGCTACCCGAAAATTTCCGCAAACCTTTTTTTCACTATATCGGAAGATCATTAAAAATTCTCGGCTGTCCTACCCTTAGTTCAACTTTGAATGATAATATAATGCACGTCTTGCAATGCTACATTGTTTATTATGCCTTACTTTGTTTCAATGATCTGACTGGCGATGTCTGCATTGGGATGCTGACCGAACGCTTCTGGATGGTCCACATTAGGCAGCATGCTGATGTATTCCTGCAAATGGAAATCGCTTCAGCTGTTAGAGCGGCTTTTTATATCGACTGTCGGATGTTATCATGTACTCATTGGTTTTGCATTTGCAGATCACTGGCCAATCGCTACAATTTGTTCAAAAAATCGTGCGTCTTCCCGAAACCTATCACAGCAAACCTGCTATGTTTTCAACCAATCAGAGGCAACATTGCCTTGCGCGCGTTTTGCCGCTCTTGGGGGTTGATTGCATGTTTTCCCGCGCTTGGCAGTGGTTGGAACAAAGGCTACTGTTTTTGCTCTTCTTTTTCTTATCCGCATTAGGTTCCACTCATGGGAAGTCGGTTCCACGTTTGAGCAGTGCCGAGGCAAGATAAAATTATGTTATTCGTGGCTATGTTGATGGTAGGTAACAGTAAATAGAATTTTCTCCGATTTATTATCGTTTTGAGGTGCATCCAGGACTGTCTGTTTGGTCGACTTGATGAGCGCTCTCTGCCTAACTTAACAGTAGAATCAAAGTCAAAATCATTGCTACGTATAAGCCGTCGTCTAAGAACAGGGAAGCAAGCGAACGCATTTTAAAAAACCCCATTCCTTGCTTCCATGTTATTAAACAAGAAGAAACAAAGAGTTAACGAATTGCGCGTTTTCAGACTCAATTTACATCAGAGCCAAAGTCAGTCATATACGTCGTCGTTAAGGAAGAGAAAGAGCAAGCAATGGCATTTTAGAAAAGGTCTCATCTCTTCCTCTCTGCTCCTTAAACAACGCAGTAAAAAAGAACTAACGAGTAGCAGGTTTTGAACATCAGTTGGCATCCAGTCAAAGTCAGAGTCAAACACGTCGCTTTCTCTCAGGACCTTAACCAACCCAGGAGCAATGAGATACCCAGTACCACGTTATCAATCTTAATTGATGTTATCATTAAGGAAAAGGGAGCAACCAATGGCATTTTTTAAATAATTTTCATCTTTTTCTCTCAGGTCCTTAACCAACGCAAAAACAAAGAGCTAGCGAATAGCGCGTTTCGAACTTCACTGGAGATCACAGTCAAAGAAAAAGTCACTTATATGTCGTGGGTTCCTAAACAACGCAGGAACGAGGAGTTCACTGATTATCTTACCCTGTAGGTAGTGAGAGGACCGTCTTTTGGGATGTAATAGGTTGGCAGAGAAGACAACCTAAAAGGAAAAAAACACACGATCGTCAACTTAAGTCATCATACAACTACAATCATGACATCACATTCATCCAGTGTGTTATTTTTAGCAACAGAGAATGAACAAAAAAATTCGGAAAGCACCGAGATATTTAGGGTACTGCCCTCTCCTCGTTTGCGCGTACTTGTTTGTAAGGAAGTTATGGTTTTGTCATTTAGATCCATAGAATTATTTTATTTATCATAGCAAGTATTTGGCTAGTCTCCTCCGCAGCCGTTTTTTTTTTTTGGAATGTCACGCAACGCTCTCCCCGTTGCGTGACATCCCAAAAAACGGCTGCGGAGGAGACTAGTATTTGGCAAAACTTGATAAAATAAACCAAACTCAGCCTTGATACACAAAACATTTAAACAATACGTAAGGCTACCGATATCTGGGATGAACATGGATTGTAATACAAACATTATAGAGCGGTTTTCCATTGAGTGTCGTAAAACCAAAATCAAAGTAATCACTCTAGCCAATAACAAGGGACACAAAAAAACAATGAGCCAATCAAAATTTGAAGTACATGCGTGTTGCTGACGCGAAGCGCGGGAAAACGTGTGCGAGCGATTCACGATTGATTTTGGTTTTACTTCTGATTGGATGAACAAGTGGCGCGAGTTTTCTAAGCCAAGAGCGTAGCGTAGCGATGCAAAAGGAATCACTCTTCAACACTCAAGAGAAAAATGCTCTAACAGCAACAAAAAAAAAAATCTGTTTTAAAATCTCCCAGACTTACTTGTAGTACTGTGTCTGAATGGCTACGTCACAGAACTGCTCATTGATGTAAGAATGAAGAAGACGCCTGTCAAAGTCGTCTGTCACGTGACCACCATAGTTGACACCTGCCACCTAAACACATGTCAATTTGATTGTCAATCATCCACAGAGAATGAAATGTACATGTAACTTAGGACCACTCGCACATTTTGATGTTGTAGAACCTGTCAAAACCCGGTTCCCCTCTCTCTTTTTTGGTTAACTAAGCTGATGAAAATAAATACGGTATAGGTTTAAGCGAGACCATCAGTTTTCAAAATTCTCTCACTTTCGGCTGCTGAAAATAGAATTTCCCTGGCCAAATATATACAAAATGTCAGATATAGCAGCGGTCTCCAGAATACCGCATAGAGCCGTTCATTATAAGACTGATAAGTTTTCCATAAATTCGCTTTCATCATTAAGAAAAAAACATCGTTGAGATCACAATGACCTGAAGTGTTTCTTCCAGCCTTCAATGGAATTATAATGGTATATTGGTCTTAGCGGTGTTACAATTTCAAATTTCCCTGACTTTTCTTCAAAACGTCAACTTTCTCTGACTTAAAATAAAATTCCCTGACAATTTCCTGATCTTTAAGACCTTTTTTTTTTTCGGAGACCATTTCCTGACCTGAAGCAACCCTGTTAAACCAGACTGACCACATAAAACGAGACTTACCAGATACTTCAAGGCGTCCCAAGGTGTCTCCTCGTATTCGTCCAAGTATATACTCAGCAAATTCTCTGAGACCTCGAAATCAGAATCATTGAAGCCGTATTGGATGTTCCAGCCAAGCATAAGAAACTTCCTCCTCTCCAATAACACGCTGTGAAAGAAACACAGCGAGAACAACAGCTTCTTGTATTTTTCCTGCTTGTGACAGCGGCTGAATTGTTGTTCTGTGATCAGCTGGTACAATCGCTTCATGTTTGCCTTCAAGCCCTGTGGAGACAAGTCACTGCAAAGGTTAGACATCGGTCTGCGGAATGATTTGTATAAGCTGAAAACGGAGGCAGCGTAGTCGAGTGGTTAGAGCGTCGGATTTGAAATCCGGAGGTTCCGGGTTCAAGTCCCGCTCTGACCACTTAGCTGGAGTTGTTGGAGTTGTTGTTTAAATATACTAGCATCACCAAAGACTATCCAACGATTTCATTGCCTCTCAAGTACATGGCAGGAATTTTTCCTTAGAAACACGCGCAGTTAAATCACTCGACTTCAAGTCAGAGGAGCTACGTCACGGTTTGTGCATCTTTAAAAGTTAGGCCTAAATTTGTGAAGTTCGTTGTTTAAATCCTTGTTAATCTTCTCCATCCTTAACCATCCTTGTTCCTCTATGGTTTATTAATATCTCTTGGGTGTTTTTCTATCTTAGTAAACTACTATTTTCAGGTTTTCTTTAATAGAAAGGTAATTTTGTACGTGGCCAACATAACTCAAAATATTGTGACTGAGCTCCTTTAAAAACCTAGTCCTTTGCATAAGACGAATTATGAAAACTGTAACGCTGTACTGACCTTGGGCGGCTCTGTAGTCATCTTGATGCCGACCTGCAGGATGGAGATAGGGAACTCTGGATGAGGGCTGCTGCTGAGCCACAGTCTGAAGTCAGGGTGCGGCTCCTCCACCTGTAGCTGCTCCACTAACTTGTCAAGCTGAGGCATCCAGCTCAAGGATAAGTGACAGTTGGCCAAGAATACCCAGTTACCCTGAAACAATAGGTACAGATCAGTATTGTAATTTCTGACGATTGAGGGACGAATTAGTCAGAAATTATTATACCGTCGTAGAACGTTTGGGACTTTTTAGGCTTTGAGCGGGAGATCTACAATGGGCGACAAAAGTATTGAGACACTTATAGAAAATGACTCTATTCGATATTTAACCTCTTGTTCTAGTTTATTTGCGTCTAGCGTTGATTCTCTGATATCCCCAGCCCCCCAATTCAATGTTGTGTAGGCGCTGTGGTCTGTGCACTCCTAGAAATAAAAAAAATCAACATTGTTTGGGCGGGGTAGGGGGTAGGGGGTAAGGGGGGAAATGTTCCCAAGGCGCTCGAAAATCGAATTTTATTACAAAGTGTCTGAACACTTTTGTCGCTCATTGTAGGTCATTTTGGGTAGGTCAGTCTTCGTGTTCGTCCACTTTTTTTTATCAAGCTGTGTAATTGTAAAATGTTCTACCTTACTGATTTTGTACCCCTTCATCGGGATCTCGTTTTGCTGCATTAGATGAGGAACACATTCCCACATATTTTTTGCCCACATTTAAAGGGTGGTTTTTTTAGTGATTTTTCGTATCTGGCGTAGCACAGGTTCAAATTGTTAAAAGCAATAGTTGTAATTTGCAAGGATAGAGACTATCTTATCAGACGGAATACATCTGCATCAGATGACAGACTGACTGCGGACGCATCCTCAATAAATTTTTCACATTGAATGTCTCGTTTTAGTGTAGTCAGAATCAGAAGGTTAAGTGGTAATTGAACATTTAAACAACGGCGCCTTCAGTCTCAAGAGCGCTCAAGAACGAAATTGAGAAATAAGGCTATGCAACTGTAAACTTTCATGCTGTGTTGTATCTCTTTCGACAGTTGTTGAATTGAATTGTCGAAAAACAAACACCACCAAGTGAAAGAAATACTAAAAAGCTATCAATTAAAAGGGCACCGACACAATGTGTTTTCACGCTGTAAAATAAAAAAAGAAACACCTTATACTGCATAATAAACAGCACAACATCAAAGTGCTGCTCAGTAGCTTTCGTTTGAATGGTCGCACACTTAAGTTTCATCCAGAGACATAAAAGTTAGAACCACGTAGTTCAGGTGGGGAAAAATAGAGAACGTCTTTAGATGTAGGGGCGGAAGTAACCTTACGTCTTTCACTCCTTCTTTGATCATGCGCGTGGCTATTGGTGCCTGACCCTGACCCAAAGAGAGGGCATGGAACCGATTTGACATCCCAGAGTTCTCAGCAAGCTGTAACAAGGCGCTGGTGGGATCCTGTGAGATAAATGAAACAAAAGCGGTTGAAAAAATTAGTAAAAATCGTTTAGTCAAAGGTGAAATTAAACCACAAGTCAGTCCAGTAATTTTATAACAAAAGGTTGAGGAATATTCACCATCTTTTCGTAGAACAATGCGAGAAAGTCGCACAGGAGCAGAAGTAAAAATTTCGTTTCAGAAAATGAACTTACCACTCCGGGAGATAACACAAAAATTAGTGGAGTACGCGTTGACGAGTCTTCCACCACCGACGCCATGTCTAACACTGGAGGCTCGACAAACCTGAATTTCGAGAGCAAAATGACATTTTATCAGTTTAAAGGAGTAAAGAGTCACTTAAGCATATTTCACGGGAGACCACTCAAAAGTAGTGCATGACTGGAAATGTTCATGCTCAGTTGTGGCGCGAAAACTGGGAACTGGGACTGATACGCAAGAGAATGGCGGGAGACAACTGAAAACTGTGACAAAACGCGACACCTTAGGTATGGCGGGAAAAATGAAAGCTGTGACGAGTGCGCGACATTGTGGCGGGAAACCACTGCAAGCCATGAGACGTGGTGCATTATGACAGGACTGCTCGAGGCTATTGTTTCCAGTAAGACACCCTCTGAGTCAGCCTTTCACGAAGTTATAAAAAAAAGAGAACTTACTTGGAGCCCAGGTTGTTGACAATGAAGGATGTAGCAGTGAAAGACACTCGGTCAGGACGCAGAGATCGAACGATCAACATCCTCTGTAGCTCGTTACACGCATTCTCCCATTCACCTAAAGAACGGAACAGAAAACATTATCAGAATCCTACAGCATAGGCAATATTAATGAGTTCACACTACTTTTGAAAATACGAATTAGGGATGCGGTTCTTAATTCTTCAGAAGGATGGATGGAGAACATTACAGAAAGAATTAGAAGAAAGAAGCTAAGCTGATTTTTCAAGACCTTGTTTCGTAGATGTTTTATTTGGACCAGGGTAAGTGTTACTTCGCATGTATTGAGACAGACACATTGCAACCTTGATAGCCGTAGAGACAAGTATAAACAATAGACTTCTGGCAGTCTGTTTTTCCCTCGAAATAAACCAGGGAGTATGAGGCGAGACGTTTCAGACTAAAAGAGATTGGGACGAGACATGGACGCGGGACTCACGTCTCACCCAACCCGGTATTGTCCATACCGCCTTTACGCGTTCGTGTTTACGGGTCAACCCTCGACTGACCCTAAGGACTGCCTGTCAGCAGTCTTAATCAAAAACGAGAACAGTAACAACAGTAGCACAAGAGCGACAACAGCATTGAACGAAGTTGAAAATACAACAATTGAAAATAAAACTACGTCATTCCTTCAGTCCTGCGTGACTGAAGGAAAGAACGAATTGACAAGACAAACGTCTTCAAAATGAAGCTTAGATAAACAAATAATTATTGAGTAGTTTTAGCTCCTCTCACCCGGTAGCGGTGTGACTTCAGGCTCAGCACTGGTATACCAGATGTTCCAGTCTCTGGGATACTGTTCAAACGATGTGACAATACCATGGAAATTAGGCAGTCTGACAATAAAAGAACGACAATGTGTTAATGGAGGACGTACCATAAAATAATATAAATTTGCCTCTAAATGTTCGTTGTCGACGGTCAGTTACCTTCACTGTGTCTGTGACATACACCTAATAGGGGGTATCCCTCCTCCCCCAAGGAGTTAATGCTAGTCCATAGCACGCCCCCCCCCCTTGGCACTTTGCTTATGCCAAAGTTTGCCACTATCCATTTATACCACCGAACGGAGAGAGGCTCTAACGTGTTCCTCCCGACCCCACCCCCGTTAGAGTTCGAACTCTGGTGCTCCGTTTCCGAAGTATAGCAAACTAACCAACAGACCACCGCGTCAAATATGTCGCAATTTGACAAATATTTTCGTCGTTAAAAAACCTCGGGTGCCTTGATCTTGCACGTCAATGTGATGACTTCTTATAGCTTTAGATGGAGCAACGCAGCCGTTTTGTTGCCTAAAAAAGCGGGAAAAAATCGTCTCTGCACCCTGAAGAGAAGGTGTGAGAACTCACTTGTCTAGTTCTGTGATGTTATCCCACGAACTCTCATTTAGCCATTGAGTACACGGATTATCCATCTGACCTTCCCTGTCCAATATCTACAAACAAAACAAACATCTCCACGGTTAAATCAGATGAAACGTCAAATCACTGGTTGTAGTGACAAGAATATGACATTAACAGCACTTAATCTGCGGCTAGCTATGCCAGAAGGCAAGATAAACGAAATTCTGCGCTCTGATTGGCTACCCGGACGTGCGAGATAGCGCTATCTTGCCCGCTCGTGACTACCCGCTGTGTCCCGCAAAAAAATTTCCCCGAAATCCGTATAATAAATCCTCTATTGACCAAAAAAGCTTGTTCGGTCAAGATGACTGGATATTGGCCTCGTTCTTTTTTTTTGCGAGTTTGTGGGCCTAGACTCCGTGTCAGTCCATAAACACGCAAAAAAAAAAATAAATAAATAAATAAAAAGAGCGAGGGCAATATCCAGCCATCTTGATCAATAACTCATATAGGACATCTAACTGTTACTTACCACTCCCCCTCTGAGGAAGAAGTTGTATTCGTCCATATTGAGCTTCCCAGCAGCTTCCAGAATCTTGGAGCACATTTGAAAAGAGAACAGCAGCTTGTGACGCTCAAACAAACCGCGACAGGTGTACCTGAGGAGAAAAGTCATTTCTAAAAAACAGCCACGCCGTACATTGCGGTCAGACCCTTCCAACCGGAACTGCTTTACAGGCTATGTTGGTCTCCCAAACCAGTCCTGTGGGAGTTGAACTTGTTTCTTATATAAACACTTCTTTTTCTTTGATCACTCATGTCTACACTTTCTTTTGTTCCAATAAATTTGCACGCGGCCATGAGTGAAATTGCTCTATGGTGTAAAGCGGTTTCTGGCTGGTGTACATTGACTGTGTTTAATCAGCCGATCTCTTCAAGGGTACTCTCTAGTAAATCACCAAATTCACTACAGTACACCGTAAGTAAAGTTACTCACTTTAAGATAATCTGTGTGTTGAACCTACAATAGGCAATCATAGTTGCCGGGGGAGCGAGACGTACTGAAGCAATGTGACTCACTCCTTCCTTTCACGAAAAGAGATAGACTAAAGCACTAAATTTTGTTTTAATACATACTTGTACACCGCATAAGTGTGGTAGTCATTCAGATTCTGTATTCGTATTTCCAGGTTGGGGCTCCGCTGACTCTTCTCAATGGAGTTGTTGAACAGGTCAATGTAGGCGTCGAGGGAGAACTGGTACATAGGATCTATCTTGCCCATGTCATTCAGGACAAAGAACAGGATCGAGGCTCGCTGTGCGCACGGCCGGTAGCCCTGGTGATGAAATACGAGCCGGGTTTAGTTGTACTTTTTCTTCATTAAATATAGATTTTATATCGTGATATCACGATTTAGAGTTCAAGGCACAGCCTTAAAAATGAGGAGCTCTTGGGAAGGCAGTCCTTGGAAATGGGGACCTATTCTGGATGATTTCCTTTTTCTTTGATCTCCCTGCACAGTGAAATTCATTTATACGTCCACTGATTGACCAGTTCAACTCGTGAAGCTAGCATTAATGCTATCTAAAATTCGTCTAGACGACTCCTGTTCGCAGTTTGTTGAACACAAGTGATCCATTTTACTGTTTTAAAGTGAGCACAATTTTTCTGTCTCTACTTGCTTTGTCATTTACCATGAAGGTTTTCAAATGGTTAAATACTGGGGTAAAATTATAGAGAAAATTAAGGCCGGGGTCGTAAGTTTTGGTCGCATTAACGAGGTAGAAGCACTAACGGTATGGAGGAAAAGAGAGGTTTCATTAGCTTACCCAAAATTTAAGGTAGAATTTGGTTCAAGCTTAATTATAGTTTAATTGATAGCTAAAACCAACTCTTGGTAAAAATTAACTCTTGTCGACTGAAAACGAAATTTAACACGTTAATTTGAGTGCTATTAAAGAGTTAACACATTTATTGCAGTACGGGCGCTTATTATAATAGCAGCGAGTTATTGTAACAGAGCCATTACCTCTCTTGCAGCGTCGATCTTGATCTCAGTTTGTTCGCTGACCTGTAACTGTTCAGCTACTTCCTGTGAAGTTGTTTTGGACGAGTTCAACGTGTTCACAAGCTGTTCATCATCCAACAACGAACCTTGAGCTGTCTGCAGCAACCTTAAGGATGATAACACATTGACTACGTTAAAACACTTAACCACTGGCTAACGAAAACGATTACATTCTTGTTTTGGTATTGTTAGGCTGACTGAACACAATAAAAACAACTCAAAGGGAGACTAGGTTATTTATTACACCGTGAGTTTTGGTACGGTTCTGATGGTGATTTCCACTAGGGTCCTTGAAGTGCTTGCGTTCCATTCAGCTGCAATTTCAGCGCCAGTTAAACAGTCTCTAGGACACGGCATAAAACTAACAGAGGGTTTGCATCAAAGCGTGTCGTTTTTGTCATATGTTTGGAACCTCCAACGATACCACGCTGAGACCCGACCGAATCGCACCGAAATTCTGCTTCACAAGTGGGAATTGCCAGAGTTGCAACACAAGCGCGACAAAATTCGCAGAGGAAATTTCGACAAAAACTGCATTAAAAATCACTTATGTAAACGAATCCTGAAAAATAATTACATTGCACAGAATTGAACCATACTTCTTGCGTTTTTTATATTATTATTTTTCATGTTCTGAGTACGTTTTTAGCTTCGCAAAATCACACCAAACATTTTCGCGTACAACAGCAACACTTTACCTTAAGATCTCGTCCTCCAGTTCCTCGAGTTTCTTTTTATTGGCTGCGATGTTAATAACAAGCGCATCTTTCTGCTCCTCTAGCTCTGGTCTTTCTTTACGAACAACGATACCAAGGAGCTGAGCCTCGAGACCTACAAAACGCAAACAAACGAAACAGTCATTCATTGAAAAAAAAAAATTGCGCACAACGAAAAATCCGGGTTTGTAAAATCATCACAAGCCCTTAAATTTCCGCCGGTGTATCGAAGAATTTCCACAGAAGACATGTAAACTCGTGACTGAACGTGCAATTTAAGACTATTGTCTTTATTGAGTCAGGATGAAAAGCCATTGTTCGCAAATTCTTGCAGAAACGCTCGAAGTTTCTCGCGTTTCATTCTCCATATAAAGAAATCCCAACGAAGAAGAAAATGCGCGTGCACCGCCATTGTCACGTAAGCATGACGTAGTTGTACACGTTCTTTTTCCTAGCAACATCTCTGGGCGCGCAGTCAATTCTGGGACGCGGATTTCGACTGAAATTGAGATAGTAATTGCCTTCATTTTCAGTTTTCATGAGAAATCTTTCAGCAAGGAACAAAGCTCTTAATTCTCCTTCTTTGAGAGTTGCAGTTTCACGTCAATAGCTAAGTTTTTTCCAGAGTCATTTGTTTTGGGCGATATTCTGCTTGTTACAAATCCATTTGACCGCAATCCTATTAGTAAGACATAAACCAACCTTGTTCTTTCACAGCAAAGTTGACGATGGTAGTCTTGGTGGAGATCTCAGGCGTGTAATGAGGATTACTCAGTTTCGTTGTAATATAGAAACGGAACTCAGGACTGTACTCCACTTCCTTGTCACCAAGCCGAATCAACCAACGACCACCTGCCAAAGAAATACCATAACATTACAGTTTATTTTCAAAAGAAAATATAGCAATCAATATTTGATCTGTTCTCTTGCTGGGGCACGGTTGTCTAACGGATAGCGCGCCGGAATCCGGATCGAGCGCCCCGGATTTGAGCCCTGCCTGGCGTTGTTTGAGTTGAGGTCTTGGTTAAGACATTTTACTCTCACAGTGGTAATCTGTGATAGACCTGTCTCCCATACAAGGGGAGTAGCAATATTCTTAGTTGTTTCATGCCCAGAAACAGACCTAACTAGAGAAAGAGGATGCGTCCTTTAAATATCGCAGGGTTGAGGTACACTTGAGGTATCTTGAGTCAGTAGTGCAAATATAATACATAAATTTTTTAGGTGTTTTCAGTGGTATGTTGTATTAAAACCTAATCGTACCTTTTTGGTACGCTTCGGTGGCATATCAGGCGAGTTTGGTCTCGCCATGGTTCGTATTTTGGAGAAACGTAGTTGACCGAAAATACCCTGAAACATTTCGTGCGTTATTTGTATGATATTCGCTGCAGTTGGACAATATTCAAGGTTTAACCCTCCCGGGAAATTGGTGACTCCTTTTGCGAGTTAGGTTTAGAACTTCTGCGGGGAACTAGTTCATATTACCAGGACGTATTATCGTCAATTACCTTGTTTTACTATAGACTTGTTCAGGATAGGCGCCAGAGATGGGTCCAGTTCCTCCTGAAAGATGAAATTAGCATTCACTCTAATGACTACAAGTCGAAAATCTTCAAGACGCCACTTCCAGAGATACTGTTGATTGAGGAACTCGGTTCCTTTTTCCAACGTATTTTGGATTGCTGTGCTTGCAAAATTTCCGCATAAACGGCCATGTCGATTCTCAGCTGACTTGACTACCAACTGAAGGCGTGGACACAAATCGTATTATCCGCAAATTTAACTTCATTAGCTTGAAATTTCACGGTAAATGCGATCCTCCTATGAAACGACGATCCCTCCCACCCAGTTTCCCTGTTAAGCTTTAATGGAATCGATTTTCAAAATTCAAAACTTTTTAACTTTCGAGGACTGTCTTAAAGAACAGCACCTTCACCAAATGAACCAAAAACAAGCTGACTGCTCCGCTACTGAAAGTGCAATACTGGAACCGACTTTCGACAAAATATACTACAAGCGAGCGAGGCATGTTCACACTTACTTGCACATTCTGCAGCAAAACCGGGTTACCAAACTGAACGGAGTTTTCTAATGTCCTCAAATAGTCCGACTGTTGCAAATCAATTATTTTTAGACCCTGAAGAAATGGACAAGAAAGGGCATTAGTTCCGTGACCAACGTTCAAAGGAGCTAGCTACGTCATGGTTTGCGCATGTTGAAGAGTTTAGCCTAAATTTTTTCAAGTTTGTCGTTTGAAATCCATGTTAATCTTCTCCATCCTTAACCATCCTCGTTTCTTTATGGTTTATTATAATCTCTTTAGTGTTCTTCTATCTTATTTAACTGTTATTTTCAGGGTGTCGGCCAAAATAACTCAATAAACCGTGACCGAGCTCCTTTAAGTGAGTAGAACATTGGACGAAATTCCGGTATAAGTAAACCACTGAAATAAATATCTAACATCTACGACTCGGTAGTATCTGCTGTACCGACCTTCTTAGTCTCCATATTCTTGATCCACTTGATAGCTTGTCCCTGTGGATCAATCATCAGTGGCCACCTAAAGGGCACATCAAATCGATCACAACTCTGCATTCTGGTAATTCTGTAAGATTCTGTCTCCGTTGTATGTTCGCAAGAAAGTACCTTCACAGCGCACTGAATTGGTAGCGCAAAATACAATTTCAGGAAATTCCTCCTTGATCAGTCCAAACATACATAGAAAAACACTTAGCCCATATTTTGCGCTCCGACATTTCACCCAGTCCATGAGACTAACCGTCGCGAACAGTTTGCAGTTCTAAGATCTCCATAAACGTCCCATCGAGAAAGGAATTTTAATCAGCAAATACAAAATAAAATCACTTCTGGTAGACAAAGACGCCATTAAAATAACTTTGAGTGTATCTTGTATTTTTGCCAGTACCTGCTGCCCCGTGTCACCATAACACCATTCTCTGTTGAAAACGAGTCAGAGGGCAAACCCTGATGAACAATAAAAACCACAATATTAAGTCAAACGATTAAAAAATAAAACAAATTGGGTACATGCAAAGTTCTCGCTAGGTACATAACGGCAAAGGAAACTTCTGTGAGAAAACCACTTATAAGTAGACTGCTTGCAGTTTGATTTTCCGCTTTGGGTCCGACATCCGACGCAAAAAGAGCGGTTTGGACGAGTGGGGTTTCGGCCGCACCCTCGTTTCGTCCCAAGCCGTTCTCTTTTTAAACCATGGCTCGTCCTGTACGTACTGTTGTTCTATCTTCAAACGAAAAATAAACTGAAAGCCGCCTAATTTGTTAGAATTACACACACCTGGATATTCCATTCTCTGACAGTGGTTGGTTTGGCCAGGAAATTGGAGAAAGAGAAGTCTGGATTACAAGCCACATTTAACTGGCGCACCTGAAAAACAAGAGGCATGGTCTCATTAAACACACTAAATTGACAAGTAGATCAAATGGTTTGGTGATAGTGGCTGATTTTATAGAATAGCATTCATCAAACAAGGAACCAATTAGGAAGCGAAAATGACTAAAGACTGCGAGAATGGAAATGTATTAAACTTGTATAAAATGTATAAAACACGTAGAATTCATGACTGACTCGGATTTATTTGAACGTTTACGTGAACGGTACAGGAGTTGAACACAAATGTAGAAGTCCAACTATGATTACTTAACCCTTTGTTGCGTTCAATCTTTCTCGTCTTCATTTCCAAGTTTCAACCTTGTTCAGTTGATGACTAAAAACGCTTCCTTTGTCCAAAGTTTCGGGTGACTCCGGTTTCCGTTTGATAGTGCCTTTTAGTGATCAGATCGCAGTAAGCGAAAGATTTTAACGTTACAGACGCTACAGTTACTAGACAACAAATACCTGCGCCAGCCATGTTTTCTCCACCAGCTCGTCTCTGTAGTTGGACAGGAATGGTCCAGCGTAAGACAAGAACGCAGCAGCAATCAAACAGTCTCCCACAAGGTAGCCAATGTTCTCCTCCAGAATCTACACACACATAGGAAAGGAGCTAATACAAACATTTGGAACAAAGATGCAAGATAGCTTGGCGGGACACTTTTCAATTCATTGATTGCACATTTTTGCTACGAGTTTTATGTTTGGTGGACAGTGTGGCTCATGCGACACGCTTCAACCAATCAGACCAAACACGACGTGTTTCGACCAATCACAAGCAAAGCCAAAACCACACGTGACTAAACAGATGTACAATTTCCCGCGTTTGGAAGCGGTTGCAAGCTTCTGATTCTAGTCCTGAGTCGTCGCGTTATTCACAGCTGCTCACAGAGGTGAAGACGTAACAAAACTATTCCAATGCTAAGGTTTTCTCACCTTAACACTAGCTTCCCAGCGGTCCCTCTCTCCCGCAAGTCCAGACACCAGTTTGCCGGCGCGTTCAAGCTTCAATTCAGTGATCTCAGC